TTATAATCTCCTACCATATAAAAGTGCCAAGTATAGGGCACTCTCCCCAAAGAGATAACCAACCCAGAGGACAGTACTGCGGTAAGCAAGGGGATGTCTTTTCTTACAGAGTCAGCCCATCTACTGCTTGGCCATCCAAAGTCAGGGGAAATACTGAATTGTAATAGTATGGTGTCTGAGGCACAGTCACCCAGTGTCTGTTACATTAATACAAATTCTAAAAAAGAAAATTAGTGGGCACTCTCCTGATTAAATAGACATTGTTCAGAGACAATTCAACTTAATGAAGACTGACTGGGAAGTAACTACGCAGGACCAAAGTTTATGGAGAGGCTTTGAAAAAGTGAGAAGGAGCTCAATAGCACCATAATTACACTTTATTGGAAACAGTGGCACCAGCCAGATGAGATAATGAATTTCAGTGTGTCTAACACAGACCATCTAGCCCCAGAGGAGCCCTGGGTTTGGCCTGTGCAAGGAAGAGATTGATTAGACAGTGAGAAGCATTATATCCTCTCCCGCTGGGGATTTCTCTGGGCAAGAGCACTTAAAATTTTCTGTCTACCTTTTCCCCCTCCAGAAAGCTGCCCATAATCTTTCCTTATGTGAGGAATGAAAAGTATTTCTCTGTATCAGGTAAAGTTCTGATGAACCTCTGCAAGCAGTGCCCTTGGGATTTCGTTTTGTGTCACCAAGAATCCAGTGTTCCAGCATCAACTTGACATGTCCAGGGGTCTAAACTCAGATCTGCACACAGAAAGAGGTAGCGTCTGCCTGCCAGAGGGTGGTGCCAGCATTTTGCTGAGATAGTTGTCGATTTTTATAATTCCTTGAAATTAAAAATCAATAATTTTGTGAGCCAACCGGATGTTCTGTTAGCTAAAAGTCCGCTCTCCCCCTTCAGGCAAGGGAAATACAAAGCACAGGAACCTGCCTGAGAATCACTTCCGTAGGTGTTAGTAACTCTCATGGAGGTAAAACCAGGCATTTCGTTCAGAAACATTTTGCTTGATCCTGAAGTGAGTGTTAGTACATTTTCAGGTTGCCCTCTTAGTTTTCTTATTTTTACATATACTAAGTATTAAGTGAGACTTAGGGGGTAAACAGAAGCAATAATTGCTTATGTAGCATTTTATTGTAGCTAGGATTTGTTTAATTGATATAGGGTTACTTGAACAGCTAGAAAAAGGAGACTTGTTTGGGAACTGCCTTAGTTCATTTTCTACTAGAAAAGACATGAGGCCAAATAACTTACAAATAAAAGTTTATTTAGCTCAGGCCCCCGGAGGTTTGGAAGTTGAAGAGCATACACCTGTGTCCGGTGTATCCGGTGAGGGCCCTCGTGCTATGGGGGTACCCCATGGCAAAGAAGGCAGGGCAGGTGAGCCTGGGAGACAGAAGGGGATGGGACTGAACTGATTCTTTTATAAAGAACTGCCTCCTGTGGCAGTGGCATTAGTGTATTCTGGAGGGGACTCTCCTCTAAATACTATTACAGTGGCCATTAAGTTTCACCATAAGTTTAGAAGAGGACATTCAAACCATGTCAGGAACACATAGTGACATTTTCTAAATGTGGATCAGCAGTGCTAGAATTCAAATCTGCTCAGATCATTACATGACAGTATAGTGTGAGCAATTCCCGCTGTCATCAAAGCCACAACTCAGTGACAACTGCGTGGACACATCATTTCATTGTATTTAATTTCCTTTATTTCCTTGGGGCAGGGTGGGGGAGTATATTAAAAAAAAAGTCTTTATTTTCTTTTTCCTTTCCTTTCCTTTCCATTTCTTTTCTTTGTTCTTTTCTTTTCTTTCTTTTCTTCTGTCCCAACATGGAACCTGCCCTCCTGGTGTTCTTATACCCTTCCAGCCATAAGTAAAGGTACTGTAACCCACCTTAGTTTCATTCTTTGTTGTAATTCTGTGTTCATAATAACCATTCTTCAATTCAGAGACAAAATCTCCCTAAGCACACAAAAGAGGAAGGAGCAACTTAGCAGTTGGGTTGCTTTCCCCATCATTCTCAACATAGAAGTTTTCTGTTCATATCTATGTATCAGCTGAAAATTCACCAAGTACTTGCCACTCCCTGCCATGCCCTGGAGTTTCAGATGTGACTAGAGCATGGATAATGCCTTTGAGGACTGTGTCCTCCACTAGCTGTTGAAGGCCCTATCACAGTGAAGTTAATGTAAGTCTTATTAATGTAAAATAAGCATGTTCAGTTAACAAAGAAGCAAAAAATGATAAAAGCATAAAATGGTAGAACTGGTTCAAAAGAGAATTTACCTTATGTTCTATTGAACAAGAATTCATTTGCATTGTAGGAGAAGAATTATTTGGGTCATTATCAGTTTTGCATAATTTATGTTCTAGAACTATAGCAACATAAAATAGAAATATCAAAGAAAGGGAAAAAAAAGATTCACAGCCCTATAGAATTACATGGTTTAGTCTATGCCTAGCATTCTACTGAAAGGATTTGCAATAGTCTTTCTGCCCATTTCTAAGTCCTGGGCACTTTTTTCTTTTTCTGGGTAAGTGTGACAGATACTCTTTAATTGAGAGTAGAGATTTAGGGTCAGGGACTCACACAGCTCATATGAATAACATCAAAGCCTTCCAATATTCTCTCATATCTCAGCTGCTACTTTTCATTTCAGGTTTTCATTCTCTCTTAACTTAGATTCACCCCTAACTAGTTCACCTGGCTATCATGGAATTATTTCCTCCAGTGCTTCGTAAACTTTCTGCACAAGTAAGTCAACAGGAATAAATGCAGATTTATAGTTGGGAGGTCTGAGAAAGACAGTCTGTGTTTTTAACAAGTTCCCAAAGGATTTTCATGTATAGGATCTTTGAATAGCAAAGACTATTCTATATGCAATTTTTAATGCACTATGTGGCAGATGCTCAACAGATGTGGAAAAGAAGAAACAGGAGGTAGGGAGACAAAGTCTGAAATCACAAATGAAATGAATGTATTTAGTTAGTCATACTGAGAGATGATGGATGGACTTTATTATACTACTTAATCCTCAAAAAGCTAAGCAATGGTTATTACCTCTCCAGAATTAAAAATGCTTTCAAAATATTTTTGAATCTTTTGTTACTGTAGATAGTGCCTTTTTTCTTCTCTTTCTTCTTTCCTTCTCTCTCACTTTCTTTCTTTCTTTCTTTCTTTCTTTATTTCTTTCTTTCTTTCTTTCGTTTGTTTGGTTTTTTTTGAGACAGGTTCTTGCTATGTAGTTCAGGCTGACCTTCAAGTCACTATGTAGCCCATGCTGGCCTTAAACTTAAAGTGATCCCCCTGCCTCAGCCTCTCAAGTGCTAGAATTACAGGTGTGCATCACCATGCCTGGCTGGTTAGTGCCTTTCTGCCTAAGGCTCTGCTTCTGTGAGACTGTTTGATATCACTTTACCTATCATAGCCAGTGATTATGACCTCAGATTCCTAAATGATAAAAGCAGCCAGCTTATTCACCAGGAAAACATTTATCTATAGTAGACAATTACATGTGAAAATATTCCCTCACATGATATTAAACTTTTCGTTAATTGTGATGTTTTCCAACTTTTAATCAATGAATTTGTGACTTTCTAGAACTAGTCACTACAAATCTATGAGAAATTGAGCATAGGAAGAGATAAACTATAAAGGGAAAGACTGGAAGTGATCCAAACACTGAAATGTGTTGGTGAAGATTTACTCATATTAGCACCGCAAAGCTGGAGACAAAGCTGTAAACAGCAGATACTGTTCAGAATATGTTAGTAGGGTATGTCCAGCTCGGTAAAAATATAGCAGATAGACACCAAATTCAACCCACAGTTGCAGAAAAAGTTTCTTTATGAGAGGGTCTTGGGCTGAGTCTTGCGAGAATGACAGCTGGATGGGTGAAGACCCCTAAGATAGCAGCATAGCAAACCCAGAAGCATGGGGCCATGGCTGTGGTGTTTAACAAAGATGCATGTGGCAAAGAAATCCAGACGGAATGCAGGGGACATGCCGGGCAGGGAGGAAGACCAGTAGGCAGACGTTTCTGGTTACCTAGGTGCGATGCGATAAGAACCTCCCTTAGAAGGCATAGGGCAATATTTAATAAGCAAGTGGTACAGATTAACTCAATAACATAACAGGCTTCCCAATTCGTAGCGTGAAAAAAGCACATTTGCACATTCTAGTTTCTGAACTTCACCCGTGGTCAGAGTTATGCCTGAGCATGTTCATAAAAAGTATTTGGAATTTTTATAAATGCATATTTGATGTGATTTTTATGAGCAGTGTTAATTTCTTTCCACATGAATAGCTTTAATAATGCTGCAATCTAAATCCTGTTTAAATTAGTTTATAGTGTTTTCTGCTTTCTCAGTGATCTTTCCACTGAATACAAAATTGAATTTACATTTGAGTATTGAAAATGACCGCTCCCAATATTCTCCTATAGCATCTAGAGGGAGTTACTGGCTTAGTCTTAATTAATATGAATTAAAATCACTTCTTCCATGGCAACAGATATTGACTAGAGTTACCAGGCATGCTTTAACTAAAGTGCTTTAAATTTAATTTGAATGTCGGTACATAGATCATGCACCAGCCTATCAGCTTCAGGGAATTCAGAGATGAAGATGAAGTTATGAGTTTTCAAAACTCCACACTCCTTTTCAGCTAATAGTATTCTGCCTCCTAGAACTTGTTCAAAATGTTGGAAAAGCTCTTGGCCTTTAATAATGTGTTTTCAGTTCTTAATCTTAGGGCTGTCGTTTCTTCTTTCTGAAAATGATCAGTTAGCGACAATCTGCACCTTGCAACTTATGCTGAACTTGGACTCTAGGTCCAGGAGTGAAGAGAAATAGAATATGCTTTTCAGGCCATTTGTAAAAACACACATTTTTTAAAAATGTAAATGTGTTCTTCTTGACAGTAACTCAGTATATTTATAAAGTGTGTGATCACGACCAAGAGAAAAAAAATCCACCAATGTGTGAGATAAAGAAAAATGAGCAGCACTGTGCTTTTTCTCCTTGTGAGGTCCAAAAATATTATAGGTTTTCCTTTCTTGGTACTGTGTGTAGAGCCTTAAGTCATAGCAAAGACGAAAAATAGTATGTGAAGTCAGTGTTCTATTTTGTTGTTTTTTTAAGAGGAAAAAGAGGATTTCTTATAAGCATTAGGTTTATTTCTGCTGTCTGTTCCGAGGTCCATTCTCCTAACATATATTGGCAAGGAGAGAGGTGGAAAGTGTGGAGGGCGGCAGAATTTATTCTGACTATAATGATCACAGTGGGCCTCTCACAAACATAATGCTAAATTATGGGTCTCTCCATGGGCAGAGCATAATGTTAAGTTGTATGATGGATTTTTATCTTACACAAGCCGCTTCTGTCCATGAAATGAGATAAGAAACCACTGCAGCTGGAGTTCACTGAGGGTTGAACTTGCACTGCAATTGTAGAGTTGACACAATTGCATAAGCCACCTCTGCTATCAAGAAGAGTACACTATGCCTGTGGACTGAGATTTTTGAAGAAACTTGAGTCTTTTGCTTGCAGGGTGATCTGTGGGCATTCCCACACCAGTTCTCTTGTTTGCTACAAGTATAAAGGCAAAGGGAATAGGTTCACTCAGAGGAAGAAGAGAAAAGTTTCGATCCCCAAACTCAGAAGGTGGCTGCTGCTGCAGAAGAGGACCTGGAGGTGGGTCCGAAGCCTAACTTACCTGTGCTAGCTGCTTTGCATTTGGAAAAGGTTGAGTGTCCTGCACATGGCCTTGAGTCAGGCTGAGGCCTGCCTGCCAGCAGTGCATACTCATCCTGAGAAAGCCCTGAGGACACTGTGCCCCAATCTGAGAGGTGGCTTTTGGGAAGAAAGGCTGAAGATATTTACCCAGCACCCTACAAATTTACATCTGGAATTCTTGTAGCAGTCCAATGGCTGATTTTTTTTTATATTGTGTTAAATAAAAATTAAAGTACTCAGGGCCTGCCACATAGCTCAGCAGATTAAAGCACCTGCTTAGGCAGACACAGGCTGGTGTTTCTATCCCTGGCGTGCCCTGCCGGCCCTGTCCCTGGGGTGCTCTGAGATCGCAATTGAGACTGGGTGTGATGGTGCTCACCTGTAATCCCAGTGCTTGGGAGGCTGAAAAACAAGGAGGATCACTACAAGTCCAATCTGTGTAGCGAGACCCTATAGACCCTGTACTTAACACATAATAAAATAAAAATAAAAATAAATTTAAAAAATATTAAAGTCCTCAGTCACTCGAATCACCCATTTCCATCCACCTGGAATGTATCTACATTTATAAATGTGAACAGTGCAAAAGGATGCCACTGACAGTCCTCCAGCGGACCAGAAGTCCTGGCTCAGGGTGGCAACAGCATCTGTCCTAAGTGGCTAAGAATCTGAATCTTACAGTCTGCATTTGCCCTTCACTTTTAGAATTAATTATGAATTAATTTAGAGTTAGATTGCTTGAAAAAATGTAAGATATTTTTCCTAAATCACATTGTCCAAATATCAAAAGAGAAAGCTTCTGCCAGCAAGTTTGCCTGGAAAATATGCAGTGAGCCTCTATAGCAATCAGATCAATTAATGTTGTAATAACTGACATACAACTTCTTATTCCCGTTAACTTAATCACCTTTGTACTTGCTTTTTCTCCGCCTCCAAGCCATATAATACAGCTTTGTTCCAGCAACCATTCACAAACAGGCAAGTCTGTTTGTTTTCTTTAACATGAATTTTATAACTTACCAAGAATTATTATTTATACATTATAAACTTTTATTAATAATAGTTTTCCAAGTCAATATTAAAAAAGGGTGATCAAGGTTCAATGTAAGGTTGGGGCTGCAGCTTATTGCTAAGAATTCCCAGAACAAACGTCCTACAACAGTACTCACTGGAGTTGTTAAGGTGAATGAGAACATCTGGGGTCATTCCATGGTGCCATAGCTGCATAAGAAGAGAGAAGGTGGGGGCCGGCCAAATAGCTCAGCAGATTAAAGTGCCTGCAAGCAGGCTCAGGGGCAGGGGTTTGATCCCTGGGCCTGCCATGCCAGCCCTGCCCCCAGGGCCATGCTGAGACAGCGATTGAGACTGGGTGTCGTGATGCATACCTGTAATCCCAGCACCCCGTAGACCCTTCCCTAAAATACAGAAAGAAAAAGAGAGAGAGAAGGTACAAGATGTTGAAGCAGTGAGTCTTAGGAAAGCTAATTTGCAAGTTCTGAAAATGGATCCATTGTGGTAGACCTTGCCCTATCTTTTGAGAGGAGACAGAGCAAAGTATGTTTTCTTGCATTGGCATGATTTGTACTTGGTGATTTTCCATTTGTAGATGATAGCAAGTTTTCTGAAGCTATCACAGTGCTGCTTTCCTGGATTGAACGTGGGGAAGTGAATCGGCGCTCTGCAAACCAGTTCTATTCCATGGTGCAGTCAGCCAACAGTCACGTCCGCAGGCTGATGAATGAAAAAGCCACCCATGAGCAAGAAATGGAAGAAGCCAAGGAAAATTTTAAAAATGCCTTAACTGGGATCCTCACTCAATGTAAGTAAAAATTCAGGGGCCATCTCTTTTGTTGTGATTTTTACCTTTTCTTTTGAATTCATTTTGTATTTTCATTTGGGGGTAAGTAGTTCAATAATTTCCCACTTTACTCCATAATGAATGGCAAACCTCATAACCTATTTCGTGTTCTGTGGCACCTTGGAGGAGCACGGACCCTGCCCTGAGATCTTACTTCTCAAGGTGAGCAATGTTTCTGTAGCTTTTCCTCAGAATCTCATGGCCAGCCCCCAGGACAGGGCAGCCCGATGCACCTGAGCTTGGCGGACCCACTGCAGGTCACACCATGCCTGTGAGCTGGCCACCTTCCACCTGCAGGTTGTCCGCATACTCACATACCCTCCTAGACATGATAGTAGCAAGCAGCCCCCGGACATGTTTTCTTGGGGCTCTATGTAGAAAGAAGATGCTGTCAGTCAGAAAAAACAACTCCTCAGGATCCTATATTGGAGGTGAGCTTTGGCTGTCCACATGGGTAATGCAAGAGTAGAGATCTTTTGTCCTTTATTCACTTATAAAGTAAACTTCCTTAACTACTTAGTGTCAGTGATTTTTCATGTTTAGATCTTAAATTGAGGAAGGGGTATAAATGAAGCTTTCTTATAAAACAATAGTCAAGGTAATTACCCAGGGTTCTAATCAAAGAAAGGGTATCTGCTTTCTCTATGTCAACTCTCCCTGTGTCTTAGTGAATGTCAGAGGAGCATAACACGTCACAGCTGCCAGTGATCTCTCATTTGATCAATGCTACCAAATGACCCTGTAACAATACCATGCTCTCTGCTGGGGATCTAGCTTGGTGGCATAGTCCATCCTGGCAAGTGCAAGTACCCAGGTTCGATCCCAAGTACCTCACGTCATGCCAGTCCTGAAACTCTGGGTGTGCTGTGCAGGCCCAGAAACCAGGTGTGGTGGCACATGTCTATAATCCCAGAGCTGGGGAGGCTGAGACAGGAAGATCACTATGAGTCTGAACTGCATAGCGAGACCCAGTATCCAAAACAAAAAACAAAACCATGCTCCACTCTGTACCAGCTATAGGGACCCACATGCTACAGTGACATATGCAGTTTATAGTTTTCTTCTGAGCAGAAGTGTTATTTGCAGGGATATAATATGCCAAAATGCCTGTCACATCTTTCATCATCAGTGTGAATACAGGGAATAATACATCCGTTAGGATGGGATGTTAGAGGAGCATGCTAAACTGGTATCTTAAATGTAAAAGTATGTTATATAATTTTGTTATCAAGATAGATTTGGCAAAAGCCTAGAGTATCATCTAATAAATTAGATGATATAAATTCACACATAAATATGAATATTCAGAATATCCGAATATTCAGCATGAGCCCAATCTGTCTTTAAAAAAAAAAAAAGGAAACTAGAACTCTTCTATGTCATATGGATAGATGTAAGACCACCCTCCCCAGATTCATCAACCTTGAGAAATGGCCCTTTTTTCAATGGTGTATATTCATAAATTCTAAAATTAAGGGTTAATAGAGAATTAAGAAAACTGTTGATATCACCTTTTAAAGAAGGAAAGCAATAATGACTTAGTAGCCAGAAAAAATGTAAGGATAGGTTGGAAGGACAGAGAAGGGGAGAGGGCAAGGCAGAGAAATTCCATTTATATAAGTCCTACAAAGTTATGGCAGGACACCCTATGCCTAAGGAGTACGATGTTTACTGAATATTTACCTTTTGCTCACCCCAGTTTTAAAGTTCTAGTCTTCATGGAGTTTACAGTGCCATCTGGTAGGGAAGACTCAACCTTTGGCTGTCATAGTGAAGACAGGAAGACAGTCATAGGTTAGAACAAAGGAGCATTTGGGGGTGGGGGCAATAAGTGTTTAAAGAAACAAGTTAGAATGCATTCCTATGATGTGGCAGAAAGCATGTGACAAGCCATCTGTTATATGAATATAAATCAGCACATAAGTGAAATAACCAAGACACAAAAAAGTATAGCATGAAGGGACCCACATATGAGCTTTTAATTACCAATAAATCCCACTGGAAAATGGGACTGAGATGTGTTGCAGTGATGTTGCACTCACTGTGGAGGCAGCATCTGGCCCAGGCAGTGCTGAGCTGTGACACAGGCTGTCCCCAGGGCCTCCACGTAGGCACCTGCAGGAGATAGAGCAGAGCCCGTGCACTGTCCTGAGGTGGAACCAGTGACAGGCTTTCACGGAGGAAAATCAGATTTTGCTTTTTGATCTTCACATCTGCTCTTCCTATTTTTATAAATTATAAGGAAAAATACTCTAAGTACTTTTATATCCCCTTCTCCTACACTAAGCCCCACACTGAGGCCCTCAGCAAGTCCTGTTATTTCCACCTTAAGAAGGGCCTCCCTGTTCAGCCACTTTTCTCCAATGGCTCAGAGGTTTCCATGCTGAGCTTTTGAGAGCTCTACTAGTTTTTCCTAGATTGTTGCTGCAGCCCTTGCTCTCCAAGATAAAAGCCAAATCTTTGCAGTCAGAAAGGCTCCTGGGAAACCACTTTGCATCTTAGCTATACAGAGTGCCCCCTCTGCATCTTTACTCCGGTTCGATATATTTTCGCCAAATCATCTGATGTAAATCTAACCGTTTTCTCTACCTATATGCCTTGCACAGGTTCCTGTTGCATTTAGAGTATTGTCACCCTACCTCATCTGTAAAGCTCTCTTTGCTGCCTTGTCAGCATCTTTTTCCCTTGAGTCACTGCGCAGTATCTCCACTGAACTATTTCCTTCCCTCCCGAGCCTAGCAAAGCTGCCACCAACCTCTGAGCCATCCCACATTCTGTTCCCTCTGCCTGATATCCTCTTCCCCCTACTCTGCTTACTTAAATCATCCTTATCCTATAGATCTTGATTGAAAGGCACCTTCAGAGAGATCTTTCTTATACAACTTTTTGTAAATTCCTCATTATTTTATCTTATTAAGATGTTTTGCAACATTTACCCAGACATGTGATGATATCATGGTTTGTCCAGTTGCAATTATTTTAACTATAAGGGATATATATTTTTTCAGTAATTGAAATCAACTGCTTGGGACATATAAATATGCAACAAATATTTGACTAGTGGGATTGGGAAAGTAAATATGCAAGTGAGCAATGAGTAAACTGGGAGGGAGAGGAGGCAGGCAGGGAGCCTCACACAGTGAGCTCAGAATTTCTGTTGACCTCACTGAGCAATGTGTCTTTGGGTATTAGCACCATTTGGAATTAATATGGTTTCAACCAGCCTGTATAACAAATCAAATCAAACAAAGAATTCACTAGTTGTTTTTAAAAATGGAAATCCATTCTCTACTACACTCTTGGTAACAGGCCAGTAGGTATTAGAAAATTTGAGGTAAAAGAGTAAACCAACTGGAAAATCCCAAATTGTAATCTGTCATCTACTAATTACTATTTGGGAGCCCCCCACACCCTCACATACACCTTGTAATTTAATTCTGGCAATGAACAACTGTCAATAAAGATTACAAAAACCTTTGCTAGTCTTAACAACCCATAGTGCTTGCTGAGGGGTACACACCCAAACTGGAATATTTAGGGCTCCATAAGTGTCCCTGATAACAAAGCTCTTTCAGAATGACTCATCTATGGACAGTATCATTAGTGTAGTATGGATTAGTTGGAATTAAGCAAAGCAGGAGAATTTCATGTCTTACTGAAGAGCCTCAAAGTTTTCCTCTCTTTTCTGTGTGCTCTTTACAAAGCTGCCCTTTCTTCAGATGTGAGTGGAATCAGGTCCTCCATTCACCATGAGTACTAGCACTTAGTTACCTGATTAGTCTGACAGACATCTGTACATTTCACTGCCCTGTAAATTAAATAGACCTCATCTCCTGTCCTTAGTTTCCCTAGCTCAGTTCAAGTTACGTTTCTGTCTCAGCCACATTTTATGCTTTTCTGAGCTTGTTCAGCATGGTAGGATGAGTTTGATATCAGTACTGTGGGTCAGCCTCTAAAGCAACAACTGCCAAAGTCACAGTGATTGACAGACTGTGTTTTCCAAAGACAAAACCAGTCAAACTCCCATTCATCTGCATTCGCATTCCTGGCAGCCCTATAGGAATCACCTTTAGCTTTTTCACTTAGAAAGAAATTGAGATTGTTTGGTGCTCATATTGAGGAAATAGCACCTCCGATTTCCTCCTTCTAGATGATGCGAAATCTGGTTGTTCACAGTAGTATTTAGAGGTCCTGTCCACATGTAAGAAACCCCATAGCTGTCCTTCATAGCACCTCATGGCAACAGACAACCAAGAGTGTGTGGAAATTGTTTTGAAATCATGGAAACCAGTGTATTTAGCAAGTAGAACAGACCTAGTGTCCTGAGGGAAGGACTTATTTAACAACCTCTGGGAAAGTTCAACTACACTTAAAAATCTCAGAGCAAGGTGCATTCCTTTATAGATTTTGCTGAAAATAGGCTATTGGTTGAGCAGGACAAGATGAATTTGAGGTAGGAGCTCATGAAGCTGGACAAGATGCAGCTGTCTCTTTGCTTTGTTTATCGAGTTTGTCTTTACCAAATTTGAAAGGCAAATGCTCACTGGATTAGCCTAGATTGCTAGCCATTTAGGACAGTGATGTAGATCTGTGGCACACATGTTATTGTGTTTTTATTTTAAGATGAAAGGTGTTAATATAGTTACTTTTTCTAAGCTAAAACCTTGCTATTCAGTTTTAATTGCAGTGTTGGCACTTGCTCTCTGAAAGATTCACGAATTATTAATCTATGAGAATGAGAGTAAAGATGCTATTCCTGAATTTTAGCACTTAATTCTGGGGGGAAAAGCAACCCCAAGAACTGTTAAGAAAAAGAAAAAGTTGTGATTTATGTCAATTTCTACATTAAAATCCAGCAGTAATCTTCCAGTTTTGATGGTATTCGGTTCTACCAACATTGATATGTGTTTAAACCTTTTTAAATAGCTCTGATTTTCACTGGAAACAGATCTTAGCTATAA